GGAAAGTCCTTTAACTCAATAGGAAGTTTCCAAACATCACACACAAACAAATCAAACTACAGTAGAAAATTACAGTACAGCCCTGCCACACTGCACCAGCAGGCAAACTTCAACCTTCCTTCAACCTCAATACTAAGTCTCATAAGGTGTTCAATCTCTACGGCTGAGCTGAGCGCACCATCAAAAGTTCTGCTGAAATTTTTGCTGAAACCTTGAAGGAAGTTTCAAAGCCCCAACCATAGACAGGACACTAAAAGAGTTACAATGCAAATTTCTTGTCTCTGGCAAGTGTTTTAACTCAATAGAAAGTTTCCACACATCACACACAAACAAATCAAACTATAGCAGAAATCACAGTACAGCCTTGCCACACTGCACCAGCAGGAAAACTTAAACCTACCTTCAACCTAAAGTACTAGCATTGACCCTGGAATATTTCAAATATCATATATATACAATCACAGGATGCATAATTACCGAGTCTATTGCAACACTGAAACGAACTTTCCCTTGTCCAACCAATCCTGCAAGCATACAACCAAAAAGAAATCCACAATTACAATAATACTAGAATTATGTGAATCCTTACATGGTCAAACAGGCATCTTACTTCAAAAACAAAATCTGCCAATGCATGTCAGTACAAGTAGAACCAATAATACCTTTTCCAAGTGAAATAACTGAAGATAACAACTTGTCCACATCCTTCACATTCCTGCAAGTACTAGCTACGTTGGAAGCTTCATGAGAGAGATTTTTAGCACTTCCACACTCCATGAGCCTCTCTCTCCAACCAAGAGGATCCGTGTAACAATCCAAAATCCGAATCCTGTAATGCTAGTTCAGTCCAGAGGTCCCCATGAATTATATACATTATCTATGTGCGTTTATTCATTGTGTAACGTGTATTACTTTCAGCTTAAAGCACTGCCAAATTTCTCAAACAGGCATATTGGCACAACAAATGAATGCTTAGTTCCAGTTTCTCAGATTAAAACAATAAAACCAATGTCAATAAAACCAATGTTTGGTCACGTTTTGTAGAGGAAAAATCTTTTTTTTATTTTTATTTTTTTTTATTTTAATTCCTTTACTTTCTGATTTTTTTTTTCCTTTTCCAATTTTCTCAACAACCAAACAGAGTGGAAAGCACGGAAATTTAAAAGAAGGCTATCGTTACCACTGCTGAGATGAAGAAATATCGAGTCCTCTCCTCTTCAACAAGTCTACATAATATGACGGACTCCGAGAAAACGCGACGAGCACCAGAGCTCTAAAAATTAAATCAATAGCAAAGAGAATTTTATTAAAATAATCTACAAACAGAGAATTACACATTTTAATCTACGAAATGGAGTTGTTTCGGGAGAGGCAAACTGACCGCGACTGAGATTTTTCGGCTGAAATGTTGGTGGAGAGCTGGGAGAGAACGTGGCAGAAGGCGTCGAAGCCGAGAGGTGTTGCTATAGAGTCCTTGATTGTGAGAGCAGGTGCATGCTCTCCCTCCAACGCACCGTCTCGAAGGGCTCTACAAACCCATTCCGCCATTGTTGCTGGGTACTTGGAGTTCGAGTTCTGTAGGAGTATCTAAGCCCTAATCTGCTATTCAATTAAACGTAATTTTTACTTTACCAGCCGAACTTTTACTTTACTGCTTCTGAAAAAACGGTTTTCATAACGAATGATCCTTAAACTTTTCAAAATTCTTCATTTCAGTCCTTCAATTTTCAAATTAAACTTTCAAATCAATCAATTTGGTCCTTAATCTTTTGATCCGTATGTTAGTTTGCAATTTGCTATATGATTTTCTAGATAGAACCTAAACGTGAAACCCTAATTGAAGAGTATATCACATTATTGAGCAAAAACGTGGGTTTTGGAACTAAAATGAGTTATATTTTGATTATAATTATGAGGGCCTTTTTGTTTCGGTAGCTCTAGATGGACTTGGGCTGTTATAAAAAGAAAGTGAAGTTGCCCATTTGCCTGGGTTCAAGAACTAGGCCCCAAAAATAGCCCAAAAGAATATTGATTCTTAAGGAGTACTTTGGTTTTTCTCACCAAGCAATTAATGATCAGTGAATCAGGAGTTTAGGCTTGGCTTGAGTGGTTTGTGGCGTGGGAGCTGAGTCTTCATGAGTTTAGCAAGAGAGTGTCTGCTTGAGTTGAAACAAGATACTGGATAAAAGATATTTTAAGGCTTGGAATGGTTTCTAGTTTCTGGGAGAAGAAGAGGATGGTTTGTGGGGGGAAATGAGAGGATTAAATAGTTAAGCTTGAGTGTTTCCAGCAGTGGGTGTATGGCTTGCTCGGTGTCTTGGTTTTTGTCCCCCCATTTTTTGGGTAAGCTGCTACTTCCTTTTATAGCAGTTGAAGCTCAAGCAGGTAATGAATGAGCAACCTCAAGTTGGTGATATGGTAAATCAGTTTATGACTGAGGTTTTAGTGCTAAGCAGTTGAGGGTTGGGCAGTGATTGCTGAAGTAAAATTGGCAGTAAGTCTGATCGTGATTTCAATGGTGGAAAGTAAGAAGTTGGGGGTTGTGTAATAAATGATGGCAGTTGGTGAGTGTTGGAAGAAGACCACAACTTTCTCTGCTTACCCATTGAGCGGGCTTAAGAAAATGGGCTTGGATTTTGGGGCTCCTAAGCAGCCCAAAACCTCCATTCTTTTGAACCTTTAATGGGCTTCATGGATATTTGTACCCATCCACACCACAACCCACTTAGCAAGCCCTATGCACAAATGTGGCTTGGGCCAACTTAAGCTTTTCGGATGATTCGACCCTGAGAGAGAGTTGCTTGTCTTTTGCATGTTAGTTGCATGCTTATGCGTGGGCTTGTTGTGTTGTAATGGCTTCGGCCTATTAATTAAATATGCTTGATTAGGCAACGAGTTAAATGGACTCAGGATATCAATAAAAATGGTTAATTTCACGTGTTTACTGTGACCTCCCATGTGCTAAATTACAATACCTTCCAACACGGCATGTCTATTTCAAGTAGGCTTCTCTACAATAAGTCAAGGCATTAGGCCTAGAATAAGCTTGTCACGCGATGACATGTTACCAATTTTAATGAAAGTTTTGTCTGAATGTGACATTAAGGACCAAATTGTTGTCTAGACCAAAGGATCACATTGATTAATTTGAGAGTTTGAGGATTAGAATGAGGACTTACAACAAAAATGGATATTAAACTAATTTGTGAATTAAAACTCTTTTTAATTCTCACCTTTATGATGACCTAATTACGGTAGATTTTCACAAAGTCAAAAGTGATACCTAGCAATATGTTAAAGCTACTCAAGCTAAAATAAAATGGATAACATATTCAGTTATAATGACAATGCAATACAATCCTTATCTTTTTTTCCCAATAGTCTTTAATCACATTAATATGATAAGGAATTCATGTCAAATCCGTAATGTAAATTTCTATGACTTATAGGATTCACTTGGGTGTGATTAGGAACATTTTTCTCAATCAAACTAAATTCTATCTCCAAAGATTCCCGAATCACATCTTATATTATTCTTTCTTTACTTAGAGATGTCTTGTTGTACACTCACATGGCATCATGAGTCAATCAAGGACCTTGACAATGTCTTAAGTCAAGTCCTTGATTGAGTGTGACTATATGACAAAATCTAACATCAACCGCAAATCCACAAGGCAACCATAGTGCCTCAGGTCTAAGGATTGACATGTAGGTAGACTTTCATTCAACATCTTTATGGATTGTATTGTACTAACTCTCTACTGAGCACCTATATACTTATCTTAGTGTCCCCACATGAATGATTTAAGACAAGTCATCTCTCTAATTGCGAAGATATAATACATGCCAGCTTTTTCGGATCGGCAACACCCAATTAAATAATTCTATGACTAGAAATTGTTTATGGTGTGAGCCATAAGGAAAGGTCTTCTGAATCTCAAGATCACTCTCCTCATCTCACAAGCCATGAGCTTGTCCTTTAGGTAAATAACTATTAATAACACTAGTACTAATTTTCAATAATCTACATTAAGTACACCTGAATTTTCAAATTCTACCGAAGTCTTTTATATTCTACCTAACTCTAGATTGAATAGACTCTTAGTGGTATGTGTGGTAAAAGGAGTTTATGGATTTGTAATAGATTTCCTACATCCACTATGCCAAATTTTACTTTACACAACACCACATAGGTATTGACAAATTTAAAAACCGATGTTGTTAGTATATTAGGCATCGATTTTATAATTAATAAGACTAAAGGGATATAAAGGCATTAGCACAAATTTTTGACGTTTCTTACCGATGCCGTTGATTATACTTTAGCATCGATGATATATTATACTAATGCATAAAATGATTTTCAAGAAATTTGTTTTAAGTGGAACATTTAGCACTGATGCCAAAAATATGGTTGACTGCTACAGTGATTTTTTGGCAAAATTTTTTCACTCCCTCTAGTATTTTTTTGTCCAAAACTTAAACTCTTTCATCTATCTCTCCTCTCTCGCAATACCCACACTGCTCCCTCACAAACTTGTGGATGTATCTTTTAAAAATGTCCATTACAATTGTGGTACACATGGATGTTGAGGTAATTCATAATTTTCAAATAACAGGGGCACAAGTGTTGTACATGACAATTGACATTAGGTACAATTTGTCTTAATATCTTGGAAAAATTTGGTGTAGAGGAATGGAAAAAGGCTTGAAGATGAGCTGCCCCTTGAAGCAAATGGAGACTACACCAAGTCAAGGAGGAGGAGCTTATTAATTAATGGTATTTTATGGTTGTTGATGAGCACATGTTATATCTTAATGTATATTCCTAAAATATATTTATTAGTCCTTTTTATCTGATAAATTTAGGGCTCGTTTGGGAGTGCTTTTTTCCGAAGCACTTATGCCAGTAGCGCTTACGCCAGTAGCGCTTATGACATAAGCGCTTCTAAAAAGAAACAGTTTGTTGTTTGGATGTCACAGTTAAAAGTGCTTTTACACTACATAAAAGCGCTTTTGATATTTTGTTGAGTGTTTGGTTGACACAGTAAAAGAAGATTTGCAATTCTCTCACGTTCGTTAGCCATCTCATGCCCATGGGTTAGATTTTGTTCTTCAACCATCTCTTCCCCTATAGTAACTCCCGCCCCGCCAGAGGGAAGTAGCTCATCATCATCATCATCATACGGTTGGAATTCTTGATCTGTCATGGAATGACATCTTATAAAGTTGTGAAGAGCCATTGAAGCAACAACTATTTGTATTTGTTTTTCCATAGGAAAGTTATGCATTTGTCTTATCATTCTCCAACGATTTTTCCAAACACCAAAAGTTCTTTCGATTGTGCATCTTAGGGAAGAATGTCTGTGGTTAAATATTTCTTTCTTCCCTCTTGGTTGACTTCCACGTCGAAAAACAGGAAGATGATATCGCTCACCCCTATACGGCCCTAAATATCCTTTGATTTGTGGATAGCCTGCATCCACTAGATAATATTTACCTATAACAACAAAGAACAACATGAGCATTATTTACTATATCACAAATTAAAACAAATTTGAATTGGAGAAAAAATATATGTATTTAGTTACCTGTAGGTGGATGAGGAAACTTTAAAATTGGTCTTCGTAAGGCTTCCATGAATATTCGTGCATCGTGAGCAGCACCTTCCCATCCAGCCCACACAAAAGTAAAGCACATATTAAAATCACATACAGCCATAACATTTTGGGTAGTGATACCTTTTCTTCCAATATATGGTACTTGTCTTTCTCTAGGCACGATTACTGGTATATGTGTACCATCAATTGCCCCTATGCAATCTTTGAAATATGGCCAATATCGATCATCATCTTTAATTTTATCCGGAACTCTCCTAAATTGTGCGTCTTGTGGACTTATGATATCACTAGCCATGCGACAAACAACATCTAACATTATCCCAAACCACCTTGACACCGTCTCACCAGAATGTTGGAACCTTTCTTGGACCATTCTATTAGTGAACCCATGACCTAAAACGATGAGGAACATTGATAATGCCTCAACTAATGGTATATCTCCAACTTCTTTCAAACCATATGAACTTGTAAGTGTCTCTACCAATTTTATAAAGACATGTTTTTCCATCCTAAATTGTTCATGGCACCTTACCTTATGACCATTTAAAACATCCATTACCCATTTATATCCGGTATGCGAAGAAGTCCTGCATGGTTCTTTGTCAACATATTTAAGCCATTCAGAAATAGCTACAACACATCCTACAGAAATCAACTGATAAAATTCATCGTCACTATCATCTGTACAAGAGTGTGTACTATTTCCATCACCATCACTAGAACTCATCTGTAAAAATAAAACAAAAAAACTTATATATACCTATTTATATGTATGTATGTATGTATGTATGTATGTATGAAAGAATGGTATATTAAAATAACACTTCCACCTCATTAAAAAAAAAGGAAAAATAGCACTCAAAATAATAACTGAATATGACAATAAAAAAGATAAAGTACAGTTAATAATATCAGTTCAAAATCACTCAAAATAATAAGACAAATAAGAAAGTAACCAAGACTAAATTTAAACTTTCTTGCTCCTAAGC